TGCGTATCGGTCTATAATTGACCCTATCGCCCATATAAGGTCCCCTTCAGAAAATGACTTTAACGCTAATTAGTGTCTTAAAATACGAGTACAGCGATAAAATTCGACACCAAAAAGTTCCATCCGAGCCAAAATCTCTCTGTCAAATTTTACGTAGATCGATCCATAATTGACCCTACCTCCTATAGAAGGTCCCCTTCAAAGAACGACTTTAACTGGCTTAAAAGTACGAGTAATTTGACATAACTAAGTCTCTTACGAGCAAAATCCTCTCTACCAAATTGTATGTAGATCGGTCCAAAATTAACCCTACCCCTGAAGGTCCCCTTCAGATAATTACTACTAACGCTCATTACTGGCTTAAAAGTACGAGTATAGGAACGTAAATCATCCTACCGAATTTCATGCGGAAAGTGTCCGGAAGTCATATTCTATGTAAACATGTTTTATATAAATTAAAAATGGTCTAAAAAAAATTATAAAAAATTTTATGAAAAACGGTCAATATGGTTCTCCTCAGTAAATTTGATGAGTAATATCACCCTAATGTTTTTTAGGGAAGCATTTCTTTTACGGCATACGGTTTTATGGTGGGTATATGAGATTCGGCACAGCCGAATATAACACTCTCACTTGTTTAAAGAAATATTACGATTTGGGAGAATTCTCAACCTTACATAATCACCAACTGATTTATTTTTATTTTTCATAGTTACAATGAGACGTATGTATTAAATCATGTACACTAGGGTGGGTCGAAAAAAAAGTTGAGTAAGTCACCCCCTACGATTAAAGATATGTTAACATTTCCGAAAATACCGCCCATTTTGTTTTTTATATATTACGCCGCCATTTTAAGTCCGATCGTAACATATCATATATCAATATTTATGGCTTGATTTTAGCTATATTTCACTCTTATACAATTTTTTATTTCGACGTCATATTCTATACGCGACTTCTGATATCTCGGATCCTTCCCCAAAATTTGAAATTGTGGCTATACAATAATAAAGAGCTTTTAGTTATATGAAATATAGGCTTTTGAAAAGCTCACTTTTATGCATAAATAGCTATTTTACCGGTATTTAATAATACCTGTATAGTTCAAACTACAAACAATTAATTTGCTAGGGATATGGTCGAAAACAATTTTTTATAAATTTGAAAAAACACAATTTACGTTTTTTTATAAAATATTTTTTAAATAAAAAATTTATTGTAAATTCAAAAACGAATAAAAATTAATGACAAGTAATTCAAGAAATATTTATGTACATAAAAATAAAGTAAAATGAAATAGTGATTATTTAAAATTTATAAAGTAAAATTTACAACAGGTAGAATCCCCACAATACCCCCCACCAGTTTCAACATTTCAGAAACGAACTCTCTTATTAACACGTTGATTGTTTTTTTGATGATTGTTTGTGATTGCTGTGGATTCCATATCCTGAAGATTATTTAATATTCTTGCAGGTGCTTTGTGCTGATGTTTGTAACATATAAAAATATTCGTCCTAGACCCACCTTAAAGTATACCAATCGGCTTAGAATCGTTTTCTGAGTCGATTAAGCTATGTCCGTCCGTCTGGCTGGCTGGCTGGCTGTCCATGTAAACCTTGTGCGCAAGCTACAGGTCGCAATTTTCAAGATAATTGGATGAAATTTGGCACGCACGTTTTATTGAATTGAAGCCTATTGAAAATGGTTAAAATCGGTCCATTATTTCACCTAGCCCCCATAGAACAGAACCCCCCGAAAAGGGCTTCTGAGATCATAATTATGTTAAATATACAGATATATCGATAAAATACGGCATAACTAAGTTTTATAGAAGTCTTGATAACCCTGCCAAATTTCATAAAGATCGGGCCCCATTTGACCCTAGCTCCCATACAAAGTCCACTTCAGAAAATTACTTGAATGTCCCAAATTAACTTATAAACACAAATATCGCGATGAAATTCAGCACAATAAAATATTATGTAAATATAAATATATTCACAAAATTTTATCGGGCTTGGTCCATATTTGCCCCTAGCCCCCATATAAAGCCTCTTTCAGAAAATTAGTTTTTCATCCATAAATTGCTTAAATGTATCGGAACAAGGGAATATTGAAGATAAATGCGATATTATGAAAAATAAATCACATTTAATATTCATAACTGGTGTAGGGTATCATATGGTCGGCCACGCCCGACTATACTTTCTTACTTGTTTTTATTGTAAACGTTTTGTCATTTCGGTTTAGGACCAGATAGGGTCCACTATATGGTTGTTGTAATGGTTTGAGTACAGCATCTTTTCTTAGAAATACATGTGTACATGTCTCAAGATCTTGTGGAATATAAATTGGTTTTTTTCCATGTCTTTTAACTTCGTGCGTAGTTATCTTTTGCATTTGTTCACAAAAATTTGAAACCCATTCATTATTTGTTTTGTATGTCGTCTCTGTTACGAATTGACCTGGAATTTTCAAAGTAGTTCCGTATGTCATCTCCGCAGGTGAATATCCAACATCTGGGTTGATAGATGATCGTAACCCAAGCAGTACTAATGGTAACGCATCTACCCACTTTGTATCAGTATGGCATTTAATGGCGTTTTTTAGAAAACGATGCCATCTTTCAATCTGACCATTACCCTGTGGATGATAAGAAGTAGTGTGAACAACTTTTGCACCAATTACCTTAGAAAATTCTTGAAATAGGGACGACTCAAATTGTCTGCCTTGATCAGTAGTTATTTGACTAGGAATACCAAACCTTGAAACCCATCCAAAAAGAAATGCACTTGCTACAGTTGGAGCGCTTATATCTTCTATGGGTATTGCCTCAGCCCATCTGGTAAACCGATCTATGCACGTTAAACAGTAGCGGTAGCCTTTTGATATAGGTAAAGGTCCAACAATATCGATGCTGACCAATTGAAATCGCTCATCTGGTACTGGAAACTTTCCAATTTTCGTTTTTGTATGTCTAGTGATTTTAGATTTCTGACATATTAAGCAATTTCTAGCCCATGATGATATATTTGCTTTCATAGATGGCCAGACAAAACGTTCAGACACCATGACGGATGATCTGGATCCTGGATGTGACAAATTATGCACCATATCGAAAACATCTTTTCGAAAAGACTTCGTGATAAATGGGCGTATTATTGTTGTAGAACAATCGCAGTATAGTTCCAAGTTTGATCCTGGTACTTTAAATTTTTTTAAAATTAAACTATGGTTGGTAGATGACAAGAGTTCTTGTAGTTCTTCATCACATTTTTGATCTTTAGCTAAATCTTCATAGTTTATGGCTGAAGGCATTTGGATTATTTCAAGTCTAGATAAAACATCTGCTGTTATATTTTCTTGTCCTTTTATGTATCTTATATCCGTAGTATGCTGACCAATATAATCTAATTGACGAAGCTGCCTAGGTGAAGCCTTTTCAGGACGCTGTGAAAAAGCAAATGTTATAGGTTTATGATCAGTATATATAGAAAAACGTTGTCCCTCAAGGAAGTACTGGAAGTGTTTTAAACCAGAATATGCCGCTTGTAATTCACGGTCATAAGTGCTATAACGACGTTGAGTTTCTGTAAATTTTTTTGAGTAAAAACCCAAAGGTACCCAATGATTGTTTACAAATTGTTGGAGTACTGCTCCCATACCGAAATCAGAAGCATCCACATAAAGGGAAAGAGGAGCATCTTTAACAGGATATGTTAGTAAGCAAGCGTTTGATAACTGATTCTTACAGGTTTTAAAAGCAGCTTTGAGTTCATCAGTCCATTCAATCTTGCGTTTATCTTTCTTTTTCTGCCTTTTTTAAGGTTATGAAGAACTGCTTGTGCCTCGGCAGCATTAGGAATGAACCGCCGATAAAAATTTATCATACCCAGAAACTGGCTTAACTCATGTATGGTTTCTGGATGTTTGTAGTTCTTAACCGCTTCATTTGGTGTAACTAGATATCCTAGGAAACAAAGTTCTGTCTTACCAAATTCACATTTTCTGATATTTATAGTCAGACCATAAGAACGTAATCTCTCAAACAACTGTCGTAGGTGAGTTTTGTGTTCCTCTACGTCTCTTGAAGCAATAAGGATGTCGTCAATATACGCATAACAGAAATCTAATCCTTGTACCACTTCATTTATAAATCGCTGAAAGGTTTGTGCAGCGTTGCATAAACCAAATGTCATTCGCGTAAATTCAAAAAGCCCATTTGGTGTAATAATTGCGGTTTTCGGAATATCAGCTTCTTCAACGGGGATTTGGAAATACCCTTTTACCATATCTATTTTAGAAAATATGTTCTTACCATGAAGATTAGACGAAAAATCATGTATATGAGGCACTGGGTATCTATCTGGAACAGTTATCTTATTTAATGACCGATAATCCCCGCACGGCCTCCATTCGTTATTTCCTTTTGGCACTAAATGAAGGGGGCTTGACCAACTACTTTTAGAAGGACGGCAAATACCTAACTGCATCATATATTCGAATTCCTTCTTAACGATTTCAAGCTTTTCAGGAGGTAATCTTCTTGGTTTGCAATGAACTGGTGGTCCTTGTGTTGTTATATGATGGGTAACTGAATGTTTTACTGGTGGCAATTTGTTTGAGTAGGGAATAGAAAGGAGAATTTTGAGAAACAGATTCTCAGATCTCCGCGATTTTTAACATCTACCAATAGGTCGTAGTGGTCAAGAAAATCAAAACCTACAATTGCTTGTGGAACATCTGCTATTAAGAACTTCCATACAAAATCTCTTCTAAGTCCAAGGTTTAGATGAATAATTTTTTCACCATAGGTATTAATAACGGTATTGTTTGCAGCTTGAAGTACTAATGAACCAGGTTTATTACGTTTGTTTTGTGTTGTTGCGGGAATGACAGAGACGTCGGCTCCTGTGTCTATCAAAAATCTATGATTAGATATATTGTCTCGTAAGAACAGGCGACTTATCTTCAAGTCTCCCGCGTCCGTCACCTTAGACGAAGGAGTTTTTAGTTTTCCGCTTGCTGTGCACAAGGAGGACGGCATTTAGTCGCTTTTGAGCCGAACGTAAAATGATACCAACATAAGTTTCTTGATACATTTCGGCCTCTGCTATTGCTTCTGCTTCTTTACGGCTGCGATTTCTTCCATGGGATAGAGGAGAATTTATTGCATCAATGCGCTGAATAAGTTCACTTATCTGCTTTTCTATTTGTTCAAGTGGAGTTTGGCTAGGCGTACTAACTTGACAAAGAGAAGAAGAATCAAGCTGATCATTTATTTTGTCAGCCATGACCGCCAGTTTATCTAAGCTATCCGAACTTATTGATAACACCGCTTTTAAAGTTGCTGGCAAACGTTGGAACCATAAAGATTTCAGCATATCGTCCGACATCTTACCTGATGATAATTGCCGCATTTCGCGCAACAGTGTAGAGGGACGTTTATCACCCAACTGAATATTTTCCAACAATTTTTGCAGTCGTTTTTCCTCGGAATCTTGAAATTCATTAAGTAAGGCGGACTTGAGAGTGTCATACATATTTTGTGTTGGAGGATTCTCAATTATGTGGCTTACAGCGTTGAGGATATCACTTTCAACGGACCCAACAAGTGCATGGTATTTCGTGGCATCTTGAGAAATACCGGAATTAAAAAATTGGCTTTCTATTTGGCTAAACCACAATTTTGAATTGGTTTTCCAAAATGGTGGAATTTTTACTGAAACACGTGAAATCTCAAGCGGAGACGTTGGTAAGGCTAACGACATATTGAAAAACGTTTTTTTATAAAATATTTTTTAAATAAAAAATTTATTGTAAATTCAAAAACGAATAAAAATTAATGACAAGTAATTCAAGAAATATTTATGTACATAAAAATAAAGTAAAATGAAATAGTGATTATTTAAAATTTATAAAGTAAAATTTACAACAGGTAGAATCCCCACAAATTAATTTACAATACAAAAATTGCATATTCAGCATTTAATTCTATTAATTAATAAGAAAATCACGTAGGTACATAAAAATTAAACATTTTATTTTATTTTATAAAAATCGATGAAAAATTAAAGTGTTATGCTAAGTTTTACAAAAGTCCTAAGTCCTATCGACCGATAAGTCTTACGTCCTTCCTACTTAAAACCTTGGAACGGATAGTCGATAGCATGGTTAAAAGCAGCATACCATACAATGACCTTAAATATAAGCAGCATGCTTATGTAAAGGGACGATCGGTGGAAACCGCTTTAAATGAAGTTGTCCACTACATAGGTGAATCTTTCGATAGCAAACTGTATACACTGGCAGTATGCATTGACATCGAAGGCGCTTTCAATAACGTGCACACTGATACCCTTATCCAATCCCTAGACCAGTTTTATGTTGACCGGGTGCTCCGTAACTGGATCAACTACATGCTAAGGAGCAGATGGATAAGCTGCGAGATGTACGATATAACTATCAGGAAAAAGGTATTTCGCGGTATACCACAGGGTGGCATTTTGTCACCTTTACTCTGGGTCACCACGATTAATAGCCTCCTAAGGACCCTAACCGAGAAAGGACTTAGACCTGTCTGCTATGCAGACGATGTCGTAATACTTTTAAAGGGAAAGGATCCAAATTACTTGTGTAGAAGAGCTGAGGAGGCTCTGAATACGGCCTTGAGCTGGGCTCAACCGAGAGGCCTCAATGTTAACCCGGCGAAGACGGAAATCTGTCTTTTCACAAGAAAGACAAAAATTTCTACATATACTGAACCTTGCTTCTTGGGCAAGAAGATACCGGTGACAGACAAAGTTAAGTACTTAGGTGTAATACTTGACCGGAAATTAAAATGGAGACACCACATAGAGGATAGGATCAACAAGGCCCATCGGTGCTGGGCGATATGTAGGAGAACCATAGGCATGAAATGGGGTCTTAGTCCTACTATGACAAATTGGCTTTATAAAAGTGTAATTAGACCAATTCTAGCTTATGCTTCAATAATCTGGTGGACTGCTTTGGACAAAAAGTGTAATATCAAACTACTACAGGGAGTTCAGCGTACATGCTGCTTGGGTATAAGTGGTGCCATGTGTACTACTTCAACCAAGGCTCTGGAAACGTTGCTAGATATTCCAACCATTGAAACATATATAAGATATGAGGCGGCGCTTACAGCCGAACGGCTCTTTACTTTAGGCGAACTAGCCAAAAACGGTTATAGGACACGTCATCAATGTATACTGTACACATTGGAAGGTTATACACATTCATCGGACGTGCCTGATCGCATACCAGACACTGAATATGTCGGAAACTTTGAAACGCTAATCCCAGATAGAATGTCTTGGTCAAGCGGAACATTAGAGCAAATACCAGTAGGAATCCGTTGCTACACGGATGGCTCTAAATTAGGGGACAAAGTGGGTCTGGGGTTCTATATTGAAGACCCAGAAACAGAAATATACCACCGTTTACCTAATCATAACACAAGCTTCCAGGCAGAAGTACGAGCAATAACGGAATGTGTAAATTGGATTAGAATAAATATGGCGCCCACAGGGCTTAATATATTTACCGACAGCCAGACGGCAATTTGTGCGATATCAGGTGATAGAATTAAATCTAAGACCGTATTGGATTGTAAGAAAGCTTTAACTGAATACTCTCCCAGAGGTAAGGTTCACATCATATGGGTACCAGGCCACTCGGGAGTAATCGACAACGAAAGGGCGAATGTAATAGCTTTAAAGGGAAGGGAGCTCGATGTAGTTAACCTGACAAACGCAAAACCATTCGACGCAACAAAAGCTGAATTAAAAATATGGATGAGAGAATCCCATAAGGCCTCTTGGAATAATGAAACGGTGGGTAGAACCACAAAGATTCTATGGGGTGACCCTGATGAGAGCAAGACGAGAAATCTTCTCAAAATGAGCAAGTCTGAGGTTAGTATGATGGTACGTATTCTCAGTGGACACACAGGATTACGAGCACATCTATACAAAATTGGACGTGCGAATTCAGACGAATGTAGAGCATGTGGAGAGGACAGTGAAACTCTGGAGCACTTTCTTTGCCATTGTCAGGCATTCGTCGAAGTTAGATCCAAGTATCTTGGAAGTGATGTTATTCCGGAAATAACATTCTTAACCAACACCGATTGGAAGATTCTTAGGAATTACGTCCAGGAAACTGAGTTTCTGAACATGGAAAAATAATACATTCAGTGAACAATTTTTTTTTTTTTTCTTGAATTGGAGCGCACAACAGGCCCGATAGTGGCCTAGGTGTATTTCTTCGGATTTGATGTAGTATACATCCTCCTATCAACCTAACCTAACCTAACCTACAAAAATGTTTTTCATGTTTTTTCTATACAACTACTTGCATGTTTCTTTTTTTTAACAATTTTTAAAAACGTTTATACTAATTTTTATAAAATGTGATAAATTTATTTTATGATTCTTTTCAATAGTTACATATTTTTAAAGAATATCATATGATACCAGATATGAGCATAACTAAAATATGTTTTATTTTTATACCCTACGCCACTTTAGTGGGGAGGGTATATTGGGTTTGTGTTGATGTTTGTAACGCACAATAATATTGGACCTATACCCACCTTATACCAATCGGCTTAGAATCATTTTCTGAGTCGATTTAACTATTTCCGTCGGTCTGTCCGTCCTTGTAATCAAACTACAGGTCGCAATTTTAAAGATAATTAAATGAAATTTGGTTCTATTCTCACAGGGACGAAGCCTATTGAAAATGGCTAAGATCGGTCCATTATTTCACCTATCCCCCATACAACTGAACCTCCGAATAGGGCTTGTAAGCCTTGTAATCAAACTACAGGTCGCAATTTTGAAGATAATTCAATGAAATTTGGCACATGATCTATGATATCGAAAACGAAGCCTATTACAAATGGTTAGGTTAGGTCAGGGGTCGGCAAACTATGGCTCGCGAGCCAAATGCGGCTCTTTGGATGTGGAGCTGTGGCTCTTTAGTTTCATACACACATTTTATTTATTTTATAAAAGAATATTTATATATTTTAAAATTTTTCGGAATTGATTAACGAGCAGTGTATTAATACTAACAAAACAATTCGCAAAAGTTTCTACAATATACATACAGAACTTTTTAACTTTGCTTAATCGTTCTGTACATGAACGAAACAAAAACATATACTTTTTGAGTGAGAAAGAAAGAAAACAACACAATTAGCTTTTCGCTCATTTCCTTGCTTTTACAATCGTACATTTGAGAATAAATCCTCATTAAACCATTTGGAATTGGATCTCTAGAAATGCAAAGTTTAAAAGCAAGTTGGAAGAGTTAGGTAAAAAGCCAACTAATAAATGAAAATTTAGAGTCATTTTTGAAACTTTAAACAACAAGTTATGATCCAATCTTTCTAAAGCCATACAAACCTATCACTCCCATTGAATTTGTTCCATGTACAAGTTAATATTGTAAGAAAATTTTTAATTCTTTAAAGTGTTAATTGAAAAGTTCCTAAAAACAAACAAACAAACTCCTACGAAGTGCAATTAAATAAAATGTAGAACATGATCATACATTCCGAAATTTTCGTGTTTTTCGAATTAAAAGATATTTTTTGGAAATTTAAAATATAGTAACTAATTTATGTGGAGAGTTTGGATACAGTTAAATACTAAAAACTTGGTCTATATGAAAACTTTAAACTTTAATCTTTTTTTAAAGAATTTTATATTTTTTGAACGCTTTCTATAAAAAGGTGCCAAAAAATTAAAAATTTTTAAATATTGCACGTTTTAATGACAGTGATCTATGAAAGATTGATATATTTTTTGCATAAAAGTTTTGGCTATAAATAAATAATTGACGAGAAAGCGTATTATGGACCCATCCTTACAAAATTTGGTAATGAGATTTTGGATCCCATGAAACTTGTTTGTGTTGATTTTCATCACTACCCAGCAAAAAGAGACGTGCAAAAAAAGTAGTAAATGCATGGGTTGAACTGATAATGAACTGGTTCATATTTAGGGGAAACATGCATGATTTTAACATTAGCGTGTCATTGGCATGCATGGGTTCGCATTTGCAAAAATAGTTCGTCATTTAAATGAGTTCGTATAACCAATGAATATTCGATGATTCTCAAGCGAATTTTCATTGGTGCACTATATTTATTTAAAAATGCATTAATGGTATTTCGATTTAATTATCAATATTTAAATAATTTTTTTGAGTGATATTGATAAAAATAGAATAAGATAAAACATAACTAACTGATTTTGATTGGATTTAAATTCATGCAGAGGAAAAATACCCATTGTGTTTTAAAATCCGTTTAGCAGTCTTGATTTTTTCCTTCTCTTATTAATGGACTTAATATTACTAATTTTAATGGTCTTAATATTACTAATTTTAACAAAAATCTAATAAAAAATTAATGTCATTTTTAATCTTTACTGTATGAAATTCACGTTTTCGTTAAATCTCCTAAGAGAATACCAAATTACAGTAAAATATTACAATTCCTATTTTTGTTAATAGGAAAGCAATAAGAAAACTCTAAAAAGAATTGCTAAAATTTAATGGTTTATAATCAAAAACTATTTAATTTATATATACAGACGTTTTATTAAATTAGTTTTAACAATTATCTGAATTATACACTAGAAATGTATAAAAAGATGAAATAGCCATATAAATTGTCTGACATACCCGGGTATGTTGGGTATTGATGTACGTAATTTTTCTCGGATATAGATAA